TTCACTCCACGGAGGAGTTGGGTACGGATTTGACGGGCATCATGACTCTGCAGCGCCGTTTGATGGGATTGGAACGAGACCTGGCTGCGATTCAGGCCAAGATAGATTCTCTGGAATCGGATTCCGCCAGGATCTCGGAATTGTTCCCCGAGGAAAAGGACAGGATCCAGACTGGATTGGACAGTATTCGAGGATCGTGGGGCGAGTTGACGCAGTTGTTGAAGGAGAAGGATGCCAAATTGGAAGAGGCTGGAGATCTGCACAGGTTCTTGCGGGATTTGGACCATTTCGGTGCCTGGTTGACCAAGACTCAAAAGGAAATTGCGTCGGAAGATACTCCGTCATCGTTGCACGAGGCAGAGAAGTTGCTGCAACAACACGCTGCTATCCAGGACGAGATTGAGAATTACGCTGATGATTATGACCGTACTATGGCGTACGGAGAGAAGATCACTCAGGTGAGAAACGTCGAGAATTTTATTTTAGTTGGCTCGAATAAACTATGTATGTCCTACAATTATTCTCCCTAATCCTGTTGACTATGTATATTACGATACTGTTTCGCTGCTCGGGGAGGCCGGAAGATTTCCATGCAGTATTTCTAAAGCTTGTCTCTTCCCTACTGTAAGTCGGGTCCAGTCAATTTTGAGCAGCGGAGAGTTGAGTCTGATTCCCGCGGTTGATGTACAGTAGGTGCGTAGGGAATTATAGGATTTGAATTAATGTAAAATGCATTCGAGGAAGAAAAAACAACCAAGTTGCCGTCTGAAGGAGCGTCAAGTTTACACAAAATACCAAGTACTTCACCACCAGAGCACACGCACAAATCACGAACTTGAAAAAGAGTACTCTCATGATTTATGAGCTATTAAAGCTCACGTACGCAGATCCTCAAAAAGGAAAGTACGGAACTGAAAAAGTTAAGATCGTAACTGTCCATCACCGTACAGTATTTACTTCAGTAACACACGCCCCTAAAATTTTCAGCGTGAAATTTGTATAACGTATCCCCGAGTAAGACGAGCACCCCATTTCCAGAGTTTGAAGATTGCAATATTTTGAAAGTAAAATGCATCAGAATTTAAATTTTAAAATTTTGACCGGAATTGTATTCAACTTTAATATTCCATTGTTCCCATTTTTCAATCGTCTTTGAAATTGCTTAAAAATCCCCGGTTGGAATGGAGTACAAATGCACTTCAGAACTTTTTGAAAATGTTATACCCGCTTATGATGCTAACCCTCGCTTTTTCTCTTAATTTTTAAAAAATTCGTGCGTAGTACTCAAGCTAATATGGTACTTCGCCTAATTAATTTATGAGGTACACAATCTTTTTTGGTACCGTACTTTTGCCAGAAAAGTTTATTAAGAACCTAATTCTCAAGGCAAGATATTCTAGTACCAATTCGAAATTTTCGTGACTCATTTTTATTTCGAAAATGTCTTTTTTTTATGGAAATTCATTGCCATGTGTGCGTGTTGTAATCAGGAAGCGTCGCCGGAGCAGCAACAAGACGCCCAATGGATGTTCCTGCGTGAACGCCTGCGCGCTTTGCGACACGGCTGGGAAGAGTTGCAGCAAATGTGGGACAACCGCCAGGCCTTGCTCACGCAGTCCCTCAACTTGGAAATGTTCTTGACGAATGCCAAGCAGGCCGAAGTGCTTCTCTCTCAACAAGAACACGTACTTGCCAAGGAAGAACTTCCTGTAAGTGTGGTACTCGACTCATGAATGATGGCCCGTTTTTTTTTCTTTTCATTCCGGCGGAATTGGAAGTAACTGTACCCTCGTTGGTGGGCAATAGAAAACGGAATTGCGGAACAGAGTAGTAAAGAATCCCCGGGTCTGGGAGAGGATTAATGGGTATTGCGATGAGCCAGGCGGGGCTTCTGTGATGATTCATGCGGTGGAGTGGCGCAGTGTTCATGTGTGCATGAGCTAAAACAAACAGACGTATCTTTCGCCTCCGAACCGAGAGTAGCGTTTTGTCATCCCTTCGTTCGTGTAAACGCAATAAACAAAGCCCCTATTGTTTGTATTTTGCACGCCGGCGTGTGCAGTTACTTTATCCGGCAAAAAGAAGACCAGGCGTATCGTGTTAACCCTTCCTTTAACCCTATGAATCGCTTCCACTCTGAAAATCTCGGGAGGTTCACTGGGAATTTTATTTGGTTCCTCCAATTTTAAAAATAAACGATAAACAGTACAGTCCTGTATCATATCTTGACAGCGACAAAGCTTTATTGAATCTTATCACCGAAGTCGGGAAAGGCAATTTCAGACGTTGAAAAAAAAGCAGTAACCAAAGATAGAATTTCGAATTTCAGTACAGCTTTGCATTTATTCTGGGAAGTATTATTTGGGGTGGGTTTGATAGCTACTGAATGTCTAGTTTACTGGAAGATAAATTCAGAAAGTAAATTTTTTTCAACTACCGTGGGTCTTCGCATTACAGAAGACTCGCACTGCGAAATATTTAGGCAGAAAAGGTCATTCCCGTAACAAAAATTTTTGACCTCAAAACACTCGAATTTTATCCCGTTTTGAATTCAAATTTATAATTTGTTTTAATTTAGAGAAAAAGGGTATGCCTTAGTTCCATATTCTTGTATCAAAACGTTGTGTTGTGATGAACATTTTTTAATAATTACTTCAATTTCCTAATGAAGATTTAAATTCTCAATTTCATGCTGAAAATATCCAACTTTTATTGTTAATCATTTTCTTCTGGTCAGTGTCTGGAACAAATTTAATATTGTAATGTACAATGTAACCTCAAAGGAAAATCCTTTTCGCACAAAGGAACGCGCCCAGGAATTTATTAGTTCCGTTTTGTGGGGATCCACTACACAAATTACCAATTCTTCTAAAATTCAGATGTCTTTTTTGCTTCAAAAGAATTCTGGTTAATTGTCTGAAGGGAAGTACCGTAAGTGAAATGTCTGTTGCAATGCGAGGGAGTAGCAACAAAAAAAACATTCGTAAAAAGAACGGAATACCCACGTGTGGGCTTCGAGAACTGCATGATTATGTTCCGTGGTACTTCGAGGTACTGTTCTGTACTCCATCAGGATTGAGAAACCTTGAACCGCCATTAGACTCTAGACTTGGAAGCCTAGAGCGAAGAAGCATGACTATATTGAAGCGACATCTACTTGCGCGTGGACGCATCATAACAATAACCTTGGCAGGCAATTATACTATTTTCTGCGATTTTAATTTCTGTGATGGGTTTCAGTACGGGATATTTCTGTAAGTTCATAACTGGTCATGATGATTTTTAAAAATTTTTCATTGGTTCGTCGTATGTAAAAGCGTTTTCTGTTTACATCGAATTGAGCAAATCATCCTCGCGTTTTATTCATGTTACCGGAGAAAATATATCCGGTTATCATAATTAAGCCAAGAAGTTCGTCTTCTGTTTCAATTTGCAAATTTTTTTCGCTGTTCGTGATTCCGTTGAACAAAGCTTCCACCATATACCGTCCGAGGTAATCCTGTCAGAGAATGCAATGAATAAAATTCACGTTGTGTTGGTATTGATTCAAAGGTTTATAGAGTAATTTTTTGGGTTCAAAATTTAGTTGCAATTAAGAATATCGTTTAATGATTGACTAATATTGACCATCTAATCGAAGAAGAGATTAATTTGCGTCGTAAAATCTGAGATTTCTTCCTCAATGTCACATTTGAGGTTTCTTTTGTGCTGGAAAGCTGATACGGTTTTCTTTTCAGAGCAATCTGGAGAAGGCAGAAAGCCTGATCAAGATGCACGAAGCGTTCCTCACCACCATGGAAGCCAACGACGAGAAGATCAACACCGTCATTCAATTCGCCCACCGACTTTGCGACGAAGGACACTTCGCTTCTGACAAAATCGGCAAGAAGGCGGACAGTATCGCCGAGCGACGCAATGCAAACCGCGAAAAGGCCTTGGGGCTCATGGAACGCCTGCGAGACCTTCTCCAACAGCACCAGTTCCTCCAAGACTGCGAAGAACTCGACGAATGGATCGTCGAGAAGACGATCGTTGCCCAAGACGAAAGCTACCGCAGTGCGAAAACCATCCACTCCAAGTGGACTCGTCACCAGGCTTTCGAGGCGGAGATTGCGTCCAACAAGGACAGGTTGTTGAGAGTGCAGGAAGCTGGAGAACAATTGGTGCGAGACAAGCCTGAGTTGGCTGAGAGGATCCTTCCGAGGATCGCTGAAGTGGCGCAGAGGTTTGAGGAACTCGAGGACACTACGAAGGAGAAGGGCGAGAGGTTGTTTGATGCCAATCGCCAAGCTCTGTATGAACAAACGTGCGATGATATCGACGGATGGATGACCGATTTGGAGAAGCAAATCGAGACTGACACCGGCTCTGACTTGGTTTCTGTTAATATTCTGATGCAGAAACAACAGGTTCGCGACTTTGTTTGTCAAGCTTGTCGTTGNCCAAGTCAGACAGGTGCAAATCGACAAGTTATACGCGGGATTGAAAGATTTGGCGAATGAGAGACTTGCCAGGCTGATGGAAGCTTTGCAATTGTACACGTTGCACCGAGATGTTGACGACTTGGAGCAATGGATTGCAGAACGAGAGGTCGTTGCTGGCTCTCACGAACTCGGACAGGACTACGAACACGTTTCGGTATGAATTTGAGAATTCCGTCCAAAGAATTCCATCTATTTTGATTGCTCATGTGACTTGGAAATTTGAAAAAAAGGGTGTTTTCAATAACGCGAATCGCATGAATATACGAACATGAGCACCCTCCTACTTCTTGAGCTATGTTCAAGATTAATTTTCTTTGGTAGATGCTGCGAGACAGGTTTGCAAGTTTTGCTGAGGAAACTGAGGACACCGGAAAGGAAAGAATCAATGGCGTAAATAAAATTGCGGATGAGTTGATCGGCGCCGGTCATTCAGATGCAGCGGTGATTGCTGAATGGAAGGACTCTCTGAATGAAGCCTGGGCTGACTTGCGAGAGCTGATTGAGACCCGAAAGCAGGTCAGTAGTGTATTCCTCCTTTGACCTATTTTCTGTCCTCTGCTTCCGTTGAAACGCGAAGTCGTTTTCACACATTCCATGGCCCCCTTTTTTTTAGTATTTGGCGGCTTCGTGGGAATTGCACAAGTTCTTCCACGACTGCAAGGACACGCTCGGAAGAATCATTGAGAAGCAGAATTCGATGTCGGATGAGTTGGGACGTGATGCCGGATCTGTGTCTGCATTGCATCGCAAGCATCTTAATTACACTCAAGACCTGTCTACCCTGCAAGCCCAGGTGGGATTTGATTTCTCTCTTGCATGGGAGCGAGATTTCGGTTTTGAATTCTCGCAAAAACAAAATGCTGTTTAGCATCTGCTTGGGATTTTCGATTTTATGATTAAAAGTCGTATTTTTTCTTTGGTTTCTCTTTTCTGGAAAAAGCACTAAAAATGACGCGCAAAATTAGCCAATTTCAGATTATCAATTAAATTGAAATCATTATTGGGATTTTTTCAATTGTTGTAATACTTGTGAATATAAATACTGTAGTTCGAATTTTTCGAGGGGTATCGATTTTTTTGTATAAATCTTTTCTGAAAATACTGACAGTATCTTGAAAGCTGGGCATTCTCCAGATGCTCGCGCAGATTTTTGTATCATATCAAGTGTCCCTAAGTCGAAACCGCCTTAAGTCGTCACGTCTATGTCCGATAGTGCAGTAATAAATGTTTAACATTTGTTGCCAGGATTGCCTACCTTTCAACGAATTATTCAAATCTATGCTATTTCTCGCCTAAAATTTCATTATTAAATTATACCTAGCCGAAGTTATATGTAACTGAGTATGAGGTAAAGGTCACTAATCGAAATTTGATTTACGAGAAAAACAACAAGACTGGTGCTACAGGACATCTGTCAAAGATGCAATGCGTTCAAATAATCTAGTGCGAACCTTTTTCGCGATAGAATTTTGAGGTATTACTAATTTTCTTTCAACAAAATAGCGCTTTTATGTATGAACGCCTTTTCAAGCGAAAAATCTCTTCATGTGCACGCTCATTAACATCCATTTTTCGGTCAGGTGCAACAATTGCAAGAGGATTCAGCGAATCTGCGAGCGGGCTATGCCGGCGAAAAGGCGATGGAAATTACGAACCGAGAAGCCGAGGTGGTGAATGGTTGGCGCAGCTTGCAGACCATGTGCGAAGCGCGGAAACTCAAGTTGCTGGACACTGGCGATTTGTTCAAGTTCTTCAACCTAGTTCGAGCACTGATGCTCTGGATGGATGATATGATTCGTCAAATGAACACGTCCGAGAAACCTAGGTAATTGTCCATACTCTCAGTACAATATTTCATGTGTCTTTTCAGGTTTCAGATGATGAAATGTTCTGACTTGTATATCATAATTTATGTTTGCCATACACAACTCCTGAATGTCCCACATATTTTTAGTGGGACGTTGTATTAATTTTCATGCAGTTGAACCTGTCCAACTCCAACATCTTTGAGGCGTGCACCTCGCAGTGTCAGATGTTGAAAACAATGCATTAAAAACCACCCCAACTTGATCTTTCCTTTTCAAACCTCCATAAATTGAATTTTCTGCTGGCCTTTTGGCTATTATTTCATTTGCACAGGAAAGAGAGAAGGAAT